TCTGTAGAGGACTGCGCCGAAATTGAGGAGGGGGGACAAGGGGCGCGCCACGCGGAGTCATTTGGACCCACGAGTGGGAGAAGCATTTCTGAACTTCCGCGAGGGCAACAATATTGCCGACGCGTCCACCGGCTGCGTTCCATCCAGGCCAATTTCGCAGCCGAGACCGCGGCGATCAAGCGCGCCGCTGACCTCGCCACCAGAGGGCGTGGACGCTGACCAGGGAGGTGGCCGCCGCCGTCCTCGAGGAGCCCGCCACCTAGGTCATGCACAGGCGTGGTGGGCGAAGCCCTCTCAAAGGCGGTCGGAACTCCTCGGGCCCCAGGCGCGCCTTCTTCAGAAAGAAGCATCGGATTGGGTCGGCCGGCAGGGCCGCCCGGACCGTCCGGCGCCGCGCGTCGCTGACGGACTTCCGCGACAATGGCGCCGAAGCCCTAGAGACGTTCGCATGCGCGGCAAAGCGGGCGTCTCAGCGAATTCTCTCCTCAAGAGCCACTTGTCGCCTGGACAGGCCCCTGCGTCGCCGTGGACGTCGAGTCAGCGCCCCTGCGCGGCAATGGGGCATGGCCCATGCCGCGATGCAGAAGCAGGGCGAAGCGCCGAGAGAGGTGATGTTCTCCTTGCCGCCCAGCAGATCTACCATCCTCGGACAGGCCCCAGGCCGCGAGTCCGTCGACGAGCAGGCCGAGTGCTTGCGCTGCGCTAAGCCCGGCACGGGATGCAAGGATGCGCCCAGAGATTGGTCCACGCAGTTTGCCAGGGCCACGTCGATGTTTTGAATTTTTTGTGGCCCTCTTGGGCCCCTCTTGGTGCCGTCTTGGGCCGTCTTGGGGACCTCTTGGGCCGTCTTGGGGCCATCTTGGGCCGTTTTGGGGCCGTCTTGTAGGCCTCTTGGGCCGTCTTGGGGCTGTCTTCGGGGCCTCTTGGGCCGTCTTGGAGCGTCGGGAAGCCGAAAAGTCGAAAAGACAAAAAACAAAAAAAAAATGAAAATTAGCCTCTCGGGGCCCTCTTGGGAGGCTTGTTTGGGACCTCTTGGGCCGTCTTCGAGGCCTCTTGGCCCGTCTTGGGGTCATCTTGGGCGTCTTGGAGCGCTGGTTTGGCGTCTCGGGGCCCTCGTGGGCCGTCTTGGAGGCCTCTTGGGGCCTTCTTGGCCCATCTTTAGGCCTTCTTGGGCCCAGAAGAGCCCGTGAGTCGCTCGTCGGGCCCCCCCCCCCCTCCAAATCGACCGGACCGGGCTCCCGGGGGAGGGGTTTGAGGAGGGGGGAGCATCTCACACGCCGATGATCCCCAAGGGGTCGGCGGACGACGTCTCCAATGACTTCGACATCGACGACGACGACGACGACACCGATGACGACGACGACAACGACGCCGACGACGACGACGATGACAACGCCGACGACAACGACGACACCGACGACGACGACGCCGACGCCGACGACGAAGACAACGACGACGACGACGACGACAACGACGCCGCCAACGAAGACGACGACGACGAGGGAGGAGGGAGGACGACGACGACAACGACGACAACGACGAGGGAGGAGGGAGGACGGCGACGACGCGAACGACGAAGAAGGAGGGAGGACGACGACGCCGACGACGACAACGACGAGGGAGGAGGGAAGACGACGACGACGACGACGACGACGACGACGACGACGACGACGGCGACGAAATAGGAGGGTCGACGACGAGACGCCGACGACGGACGACGACGTCGAGGGAAGAGGAAACGACGACCACGGCGACAACGACGACGGAAACGACGACGACGCCAAGACGACGACGACGAGGAAAGACAGAGAACGACGACGCCGACGACGACGACGGAGGAGGGAGGACGGCGACGACGACGACGCAAAAGCGCACGCGCACGCTTTTGCTGAACATCCGTATTGCGGAACCTTTTGTTTTTTGTAGGTTCTTTTGGACACGATTTTGAAATCCTCCCGAAATCGAAGGTTTTTGAAGGATTTCGGCATACGCGCGCGACGACGCGCGCGTCTGCGCTTCGTCCCATTTTTTGCAGAGGATTCTCGCGACGGCACACGCGCAAGGGCGTTTGACAGATTCGACATGCGCGCGCGCGAAGCCCGTTTGGTAGCATGTTGTGAAAATCTTGAAAAAAAACAATGGTTTTCTTAAGGTTTCGCAAGAGCTCGCGCGGAAACTTTTTTAGCAAGTCAGTGTTGCGAAACCCTGTTTTTTTTGTTGTTGCTGGGAACTCGATTGCGAAGTCCTTCTGGCACCGAAGGTTTTTGAAGGATTTCGGCATGCGCCCGCGACGACGCGCGCGTGTGCACTTCGTCCCATTTTTTATAAGGGATTCGCGAACAAGTGTTATGTTAGAGCAAACAATGTCACCGCATAGTGTTTTTTACAAGGGAACCTCAGGGGAGGGATACCGGCTGGCCTGGGATAGTGTAAATGCATATTTAGGATGGGCATGTGGTCAGAATCGTATATGATTAACATACCCAAATGAGGATAGATAACGCATTTTTTTTTGAAACAAATATTTTATACCTAACATAAAAATCACTTGCTCAACTTGAAGCTGTCCTCTCCGCTGCTCGTGCAAACATCCCACCTCGCACCCGCAACTTGGTCGCAAGACCTCTTAAGACAAGACCGTGACGGTAGGTACCAGATGGCACTTGGCCACGACACCGACGCCGACGACGACAGCGATAACGACGACGACGGCGCCGCCGACAATGACGACGACGACACCGACGACGTCTCCAACGACTTCGACGACGACAGCGACCACGACGACGACGACCCCGACGACGACAACGACGCCGACGACGACGACGATGACAACGACGACGACGACGCCGCCGACGACGACGTTGCCGACGACGGCGACGACGAAGACAACGACGACGACGACGACGACGACAATGACGTCGCCAACGAAGACGACGACGAGGGAGGAGGGAGGACGACGACGGCGACAACGACGACGACGACGACGACGAGGGAGGAGGGAGGACGGCGACGACGCGAACGACGAAGAAGGAGGAAGGACGGTGACGTCGACGACAACGACGAGGGAGGAATCTATCATTACCTAACAGCTTTTGCTGATAGGTTTCTAGTGGTGTCAAAAGAGAGCATCTGGACTCCACAGGGGGGTCTGGGCGGGTGCCGGGGAGGAGAACGGGGAATCGTTTTTCGGCAACAGTCACACACTTCGTGCTCTTCGACCTCCCAGAATTCCATTCCTGGGCCACTTTCTGGAGAACCGGGAACAGAGCCGGGCTAGCTTTTCGCCAACAGTCACACACTTCGTGCTCTTTGACCTCCCAGAATTCGATTCCTGGGCCACTTTCTGGAGAACCGGGAACAGAGCCGGGCTCGTTTTTCGTTAACAGTCACACACTTCGTGCTCTTCGACCTCCCAGAACTCCATTCCCGGGCTACATTTTGAGTGGCCGGAGCCAACTGTAGGCCACTTCGTGTTCTTCGAGTTCCCAGAACTCCATTCCCGGGCCACAATTTGGATGCCCGGAGCCAACAGTAGGCCACTTCGTGCTCTTCGATTTCCCAGAACTCCATTCCCGGGCCACATTTTGGATGCCCGGAGCCAACTGTAGGCCACTTCGTGTTCTTCAAGTTCCTAGAACTCCATTCCTGGGCATGATTTTGAATGCCCGGAGCCAACTGTAGGCCACTCCGTGTTTTTCTTCTCTTCTCTTCTCTTCTCTTCTCTTATCTTCTCCTCTCTTCTCTTCTCTTCTCTTTCTCTTCTCTTCTCTTCTTTTCTCTTCTCTTCTCTTCTCTTCTTTCTCTTCTCTTCTCTTCTCTTCTCTTCTCTTCTCTTCTCTTCTCTTCTCTTCTCTCTTCTCTCTTCTCTCTCTCTCTCTTTCCTCTCATTCTTTCTTTCTTTTTCTCTTCGTCTCTTTCTCTTAGTTTCCCAGAACTCCATTTCCTGGGCCACATTTTGAATGCTGAGGCAGGCTGATGCTGCGGTCGAGGCAGGCTGGGGCTGAGGCAGGCTGAGGCTGAGGCCGAGGCTGAAGGCAGACTGAGGCTGAGGCTGAAGCAGACTGATGCTGAGGCTGAGGCAGGCTGAGGCTGAGGCTGAGGCAGGCTGATGCTGAGGCAGGCTGAGGCTGAGGCTGAGGCTGATGCAGGCTGAGGCTGAGGCAGGCTGAGGCTGAGGCCGAGGCTGAAGGCAGACTGAGGCTGAGGCTGAAGCAGGCTGAGGCTAAGGCTGAGGCAGGCTGAGGCTGAGGCAGGCTGAGGCTGAGGCTGAGGCAGGCTGAGGCTGAGGCTGTGACTGCGACTGCCGTTGCCGCTGCGACTGTCATCGCGAATGCGACTACGACTGCGAGAACAGCAGAATTCCACAACTGGATTTTCATCTGAATCTTAAGGGGAATGCTTTCAGATATGCTTCTGCATATCGCTGTTAGGTTGCTTTGCCGGGATAATGTTTTTAGAAAGGAGAATCTATATCGTGCGTGTAACATGGCGTAGCAATCCAAAACAATGCGAAACAATGCAGAAGTGCGAGACAATTTAAACGATACCAAACAATGCGACGCAATACGGAACAACACACAACAATTCAAACCAATGCGAAACAATGCCAACGGGGCGGCGACGGCGACCACATAGCCGCGTGCAGGCCCAGAAGATGGGCGGCGACGGGGCGGCAACGGCGACCACAGCTGCCAGACCGACGGGCAGGCCCATAAAACGGGCGGCGACGAAGCGGCGCCTGGGCGGCGACGGCGACCACACAGTCGCCAGACCGACGGACAGGCCTAGTTCTTTAGGACCCAGTAGGTGCAAATACTGTTCGGGCTGCGTGAGTGTGTAAATCCGTAAGGGCTTCGCCCCCTGCCGCAGGCCCCCTTTCTCGGATAATGAGCAATGCAAGAGCGAAATCATAACGCCTTGGCGCCGCCGTGAAGCAGCGTCGGGACTTCACGCGAAGACGTTGAACAATCGGCAAGACAAATTGAGATTCTGATGATATCGTTGAATTCGGTGTTGTATTTCGAAGGGTTTATGGCTTCGTCCGTAGCGATTTTGGCTCAAGCCATTCTAGCTCGAGCTTAAGCCACCGCGGTGCAAGCGCTGCCCCCGGCAGCAGCCGAGCCTCTGTAGCTGCAGCGCGTGGCGTCCGATGCGCGGCGTGGGGCAGGCGCTGGCCCGCTCGACCGCCTGGCCTGCAATGCTGGCCATGCTGTGTGGCCTGCCCTTCGTGCTCTTTGGGCCTCTCCGCGCCAGCAAGGTGCTGGGCAGCGGACGTGTGATGCAGCCACGACCTGGGAGCGCCTCGGGCCCCACTGCGCGCGGTGCCGGGAAGGGCACCGTCCCAGACCCGCAGGAGTGTTCTCACAACCGCGAGGCTGCTCTTCGGGAGTACCGGATGCACAGCGGGAGGCTGTTTTTTTTCCATATCACTCACCATGCTGGAACCAACATTAAGAGCATCCTCAAATTGTCTGGCCTCTGCGAAATCAACGCAGATCCCTTCCTCGTGGCCCCAGATAACTCGACCCTTCGGTGGTTCAACGTGTGGAAGGAGGAAAGCGAGATACCGCCAGAAGATTTGAGCAGCTTCATGCCGTGCGATTCGGACGGATTTGTCAGCGTGGTTTCCTTGCGGGATCCGATTGAGCGAACTTTTGCTGGTGATGGTATGTGGAAGACATTCGCCAATGGTACCAACATGGACATGTGCAGTTCAGATAATTATGGTTTGCGTAAACTTATAGATAAGCCGTTACCCGCAAATTTGTCATGGGAAGATGTAGAGTTTGCGAAACGACGCTTGGCGTCATTCGATTTGATTATTGATCAGGGCAACTATGCGACTTCTATGAAGTTGCTCTGCGCTGAGCTTGGGCTTTCATATTGCGGGGTCGCCCAGAAAGTCCACAGATACCCGAGTGAGTATCTACCCGATGACATATTCAAAAAACTCAGGCATCGCAATCGATTCTATAGGCGTACGCCACATCCGCCGACCCCTGTGTTCGAAAAGCGTTGTGGTTTCTCTGGGGTCGCATGCAGTGTCGGCACCATTCTCCCGCAATGTTGCGTGCAGCGTGTGGTCGTGAGGGGGAGGAAGAGGAGAAAGAGGAGAAGGAGGAGGATGAGGAGGAGGAGGAGGAGGAGGAGGAGGAGGAGGAGGAGGAGGAGGAGGTGATCGCGGGGATCTCTTGGGGGGCTTCTCGCGGGACTCTTGGAGGCAGTTTCGAAGCCTCTTGGGGGCCGTTTTGGGGCCGTTTGGGGCCCTCTTGGGGGCCTTTTGGGGCTTCTGAGGGGCGTCTTGGGGGCCTCTTGGGGCCTCTTGGGGCTTTCTTGGGCCGTCTTGGGCGGAAGGCTCGGATTGTCGGTTCAAGCTCCCTCTCTTGGGCCCCTCTTGGGGCCGTCTTGGGCCGTCTTGGGGGCCTCTTGGGCCGTGTTGGCGCCCTCTTGGGCCGACTTGGGCGCCTCTTGGGGGCCTTTTGGGCCGTCTTGGGGCTGTCTTGGGGTGCTCTTGGACCGTCTTCAACGCCGTAAAGGCCGACAAGTCGTATATGATGGGAATGTACGTGTTCCCATAGGAATTTGATGATTCTCGCCTCTTCGGCCCTTCTGAGGACTGTTCTTGGAGGCCTCTTGGGCCGTCTTGGAGGCCTCGTGGCTCGTCTTGGGGCCATCTTGGGCGTCTTGGAGCGCTCGTTTGGCGTCTCGGGGCCCTCGTGGGCCGTCTTGGAAACGTCTTGGGGCCTTCTTGGCCCGTCTTGAGCCCCTTTTGGGTCCAAAAGAGCCCGTGGTTTGCTCGGGCCGGGCCCGGGGGAGGGGGGGTCAAATCGTCGGTTTGGGGTCCCATGGGGGGGGGGTTAGGGGGGGGAACTATCTCACACGCCTAGAGACCCACAAGGGGTCGGCGGATTTGAATTGGCGATGTATGAATACGGGCAGGAGCTTTCCAGGGACATGATCCGTTCGAGCCAGCTTGCTGGGCGTTGGCCTGCAAATGCAACTCTCAAGTCCCTGCAACGGGCTGCGAGCCAGCGTGCTGGGCGAATGCCGGCAGACGCTAACGAGGGTCAGTTGTTGCGATATGCTTTGAACTCTTGCCCGAGAAAGGGTAAGCACCACCCGCGCCGCGCGTGGGTATGCCCGAGCCAGTGGCCGGCCCACGACTGACACCGATACAGTCCGTTCGACTTTTGAGAGAGCGCCGACGTGGGCGCGGAAGCATCGGCCGGCGCCGCTTCTGTGTAGAGCCATCGTCTTCTGAACGCAGGCCGAGGCGGGCGTCGGGCCGCCAGAACTCCACAAAAAAGGTCCCCAAGACGGCCCAAGAGGGCACCAACACGTACTAGTCGCCGCACCTGTCCCCCCCCGCCACTTCCCCTCTTTTCCTGCCCCCCCCTCGCAACCCCTTGTTGTTCTCATAGTGTACAGATCACATGTGCTCCTTTTAGCTAGCGCTCATCTGACTAGTAGCATTCCTGTACGTTTCTCTTCAGATAGCATGTTTCTTTTTTGGGTCGCGCCGGGGACATCGAATTCTGGCACCGCTGTATCACCCGGTGGCCACACCAACCTCACTATCGGTGAATTGGTCGTATGGCCGTTTCATGGGAGGGGCGCCAGCCTGTATGAAGGCCTGGGCGGTTTTAGCGTTTTTTAAAAGCTTATCTCAGCGCTTCTTCGCTCTCCCGTCAACGCATTTGCTTTGGATGATACTTTCATTATCCTCGGAGTTTGTCTATGCACTATCCTCCTCCTCTTTTTTCCCCTTCTTCTCCTCCTCTCTCCCCTTTCATCTTTTCACCCTCTTCATCGGAGGAGGGATGGACAGAGGAGGACGGGTGAGGAGGAGAAGGAGGAGGAGGAGAAGTGAGTAGGACTGAGGAGGAGTGAGCAGTAGGAAGAGGACGAAGAGGAATAAGAGGAGTGAGGAGAAGATGGAAGATAGTAAGTGCTCATCGTTTGTCCTCTTCCTCATCTTTCTCAGCCATCCCATCCTCTGTGTGACTCCGCTTGACCACCCCTCCATTACCAATCGTTATGTTGATGATGATGGTGATGATCATGATGCCGATGACGATAACGGTGATAACTAGGTTGATGAAGATGATAATCGTTGAGATGTTGTTGAAAACCTCCCGAAGCGTGACGGAGGCAGTTCTGATATCTCTTGGATCTCTTGGGGCCCTCTTTGGGACCACTTCGGTGCCTCTTAGGACCCAAAGGGACCACGTTCCACGACGACGACGGCGGCAGGGCGGCGACGACGACGACGACAGAGAAAGTCGCAACGCCGCGGATGAACGCAGCTCGAATTAGTGGTATGTGTGGACCCCAACAGGAGTGCAGGTCTCCATTTTTGTTTTTTGGTCCAAACCACTGGAATTCAAACATACATTGTTCTTCTTTACCCTCGTTCTGCTCGGCCCACCGCGCCACTCTATTGGGATTGGGAAGAAGTGCAACAACCAGCAGTGCACCTACGGTGCAGGTACGCCCGCCGCCGGCTTGGTACCCTTTCTGGCGCCGAACCAACCCATCCAGATATCAAGCCAGCGGCCGCCGGATTGGCACCCCGCCGGCTTGGTACCCCCCCGGGGGCTCCTCCCTACCAAGCCAGCGGCCGCCGGCTTGGTACCCCGCCGGCTTGGTACCCCTCCAGGGCCTCCTGCCTACCAAGCCAGCGGCCGCCGGCTTGGTACCCCGCCGGCTCTTGGGACCTCAATTGTTTCAAGCAGCGCGCGCAAGTCGCACTGGGCTTGTTCTGCAGGACTGCCCTCGCGCGCGCCGCGGAGCTCTCGCGGGCGCTGAGAGGCGATCGCTTCGCCTTGCTCTCTGATCCAAAAGAGTTCGCCTGCCCGCCCCGCGCCGCTTCCCCGCTCGAGTCGTGGCCCAGGGCGGCCCCCCTCGTTTGTCCCCAACCAACTTGCGTTGCTGGGTCCTCGTTTTGAAGAGAGACCCCTTTCGGAATTGCATTAAAGCAGAAATCTGCCTCCAAGAGAGCACCCAGTACTCAACGGGCCCCGTCTCCAAGAAAGCACCCGGCACTCAACGGGCTCCGCCTCCAAGAGAGCACCCAGTACTCCACTGCCTCCGATACCAGAGAGGCCCCTTCAAAGTTGCATCAAAAAAGAAATCCGCCTCCGAGAGAGCACCCGCTACTCAACAGGCCCCGTCTCCAAGAGAGCACCCAGTACTCAACAGTCCCCGCCTCCAAGACAGCACTCGGTACTCAACAGGCCCCGCCTCCAAGAGAGCACCCAGTACTCCACAGCCTCCGATACCAGAGAGGCCCCTTCGAAGTTGCGTTAAAAAGGAAATCCGCCTCCAAGAGAGCACCCAGCACTCAACGCGCCCCGTCTCCAAGAGAGCGCCCAGTACTCAACAGGCCCTGCCTCCAAGACAGCACCCGGCACTCATCAGGCCCCGCCTCCAAGAGAGCACCCAGTACTCCGCAGCCTCCGATGCCAGAGAGGCCCCTTCGGAGTTGCATTAAAAAAGAATTCCGCCTCCAAGAGAGCACCCAGTGCTCAGCCGGCTCCGTCTCCAAGAGGGCGCCCAGTACTCAACAGGCCCCGTCTCCAAGACAGCACTCGGCACTCAACAGGCCCCGCCTCCAAGAGAGCACCCAGTACTCCACAGCCTCCGATACCAGAGAGGCCCCTTCGAAGATGTATTCAAAAAGGAATCCGCCTCCAAGGGAGCACCCAGTACTCAACAGGCCCCGTCTCCAAGAGGGCACCCAGTACTCAACAGGCCCCGTCTCCAAGACAGCACCCGGCACTCAACAGGCCCCGTCTCCACGAGAGCACCCGGTATTCCACAGTCTCCTGCACCAGAGAGGCCCTTTCGAAGTTGTATTAAAAAAGAACTCCGTCTCCAAGAGAGCACCCAGTACTCAACGGGCCCCGTCTCCAAGAGAGCACCCGCTACTCAACAGGCCCCGTCTCCAAGACAACACCCGGTACTCAGCAGGCCCCGCCTCCAAGAGAGCACCCAGTATTCCACAGCCTCCGATACCAGAGAGGCCCCTTCGAAGTTGTATTTAAAAAGAAGCCGGCTCCAAGAGAGCACCCAATACTCGACAGGCCCCGTCTCCAAGAGAGCACCCAGTACTCAACAGGCCCCGTCTCCAAGACAGCACTCGGTACTCAACAGGCCCCGCCTCCAAGAGAGCACCCAGTACTCCACAGCCTCCGATACCAGAGTTGCCCCTTCGAAGTTGTATTAAACGAGAAGTCCGCCTCCAAGAGAGCACCCAGTACGCAACAGGCTCCGTCTCCAAGAGGACGCCCAGTACTCAACAGGCCCCATCTCCAAGTCAGCACTCGGTACTCAACAGGCCCCGCCTCCAAGAGTGCACCCAGTATTCCACAGCCACCGATACCAGAGAGGCCCCTTCGAAGTTGTATTAAAAAAGAAACCCGGCTCCAAGAGAGCACCCAGTACTCGACAGGCCCCGTCTCCAAGAGAGCACCCAGTACTCAACAGGCCCCGTCTCCAAGACATCACTCGGTACTCAACAGGCCCCGCCTCCAAGAGAGCACCCAGTACTCCACAGCTTCCGATATCAGAGAGGCCCCTGCGAAGTTGCATTAAAAAAGAAAATTGCCTCCAAGAGAGCACCCAGTACGCAACAGGCTCCGTCTCCAAGAGGGCGCCCAGTACTCAACAGGCCCCATCTTGAAGACAGCACTCGGTACTCAATAGGCCCCGCCTCCAAGAGAGCGCCCAGTACTCGACAGCCTCCGGTACCAGCGATACCAGGAGGAAGGGGGATGGGGAGGGACAGGAGGAGGAGGAGGAGGAGGAGGAGGAGGAGGAGGAGGTGGAGGAGGCTGGGGAGGGGGGAGGAGGAAGAGGAGGAGGAAGAGGAGGAGGAAGAGGAGGAAGAAAGGATGAGGAGGTCGGGGGGGGGAGGA